TGCTGGAATCCCTCTCATGGTATCCTGGAAACCCATAGGATCCAGTAACCTTCGAGGGCGGACCATCAAAATAGATCCATGCTCCCTACGAGGAGAGAGTGCCATTGCGAGGTTACATTTTATTAGGTGATGGTCTGACCATGACAAGGGGACTGACACGAGGTCAGTCACCATCAGACCACGTTCACTACACTCAGTAGAAAAGACCAGATAAAGCATATGGCCACCCATGAGCATGGGGCCGTTGACATGTTGGGATAAGTTCAAGGAAGCCATGGTTTCCAAGAACTCAAGAGCTGGACCGGATACCTCCGCCTCCGCATGGATGTTGAAATCACCCAGGACCAGAAGTCTTGGGGACTCCAACAGTGCCGCGGAGACTAATTCCGCCAGCTCCGGTAGGTAGGTGGCTGAGTCACGGGGAGCGCGGTAACCCAGCAAGATCCCAATACAATCCCTGGCCCCAATCCACACATGCAGGGCCTCCAAACCTGGCTTCATGACCAAGGAGCGCTTAGTAACCTCTAGAGATTTTCTATAGACAATGGCAACTCCCCCCCCGCACCCCTCCAGTCTGCCCTGGTGTTGGACTGCATAAGCTGGAGGGCAAGAAAGGGTCAGAGGAACCCCTCCTTCCCCACTCATCCAGGTCTCAGTTATGCACGCCAGGTCTGCATCCTCCTCCAGAATAAGATCTTGAATAAGCTGGGATTTGTTGGATACAGACCTGGCGTTCAACAGGAACAGGTTCAGAGTAGAGGGTCAGCTAGGCTGCCTACCTCGATATTGGCAGTTGGTCACAGTGCCAGAACAGTGAACAGCCTTCAAACATCTGTTCACTGTTCTTCTAACACAAGTAGGCACTGTACCAGTGCCATATCTCCCCTTACCTGTAATCACCGTGATGTTAGAACCCTCACTGGGCCTGCAGGCCTTCCTCTCCATATCAGTCAAAAAAGTAAGAAGAACAGAGAAAGAAAAAACTAAATAGGCAAAATACTCTTAGGTGATACTGGAAAACAATAATAAAAATTAACAAATAATAACTGGGAAAAAACATTAATAGCAATGAAACATTTACAATAGACATTAATTATAATTATATCCAAATTAGAAAATTCAATAAAATTCAAATTATACAGTTTAAATAAATATAATATTGAAATTTAAAATATGCATTTGTTACAAATGGATTAAACAAAAAATAGAATGGGGCAAGCTAATGACAACGAACGAAGTAAAACAAAATAAAACAAAAAAGCAACAAAAAATTAATATAGTGAAAAAGCAGAGAAAAATAAACCCAAGCTTCTCCCCCCATATAATTAGTCCTGTCCCGCAGCCACCCTAGCAGCAGGTCTTATTTTCCTCAGCGTAGTTGTTGGGTATGAGTTCAAGTTCATGGGGGCAAGAACCCCTACCGAGACAGTCAGAGGCAGAACTCGATATAGCATTGCAAGGAGCGAGAACAGGAGGAGAGCCACTGAAGACATGATACCTGTGCTGGGTCTCTCGGCGTTATAGGGTTGAAAGGGGAATTCCCCATTTGACCTTTTAGGGTCCACTGCTGTAAACTGGGCAGAATTCCCCATTCGTCCTTTTAGGGTCCACTGCTGTAAACTGGGCTTCTCTGGCCATAAATAATAGCAAAGAGTCACAGTTCCGTCTGGCCCTCCAAGAAGCCCCGAGAGAGAACACTGCCAGCCGGTATCAGATTTCACAGGCTTCAGCCGGTCTCTAAGTCTCTCAGTTTCCTAAGCACAGGCTCACCCAACTCCTTTGAACAGCGTCCACAGCCTCCAGGGGCTCTAGCTCTCGAACCGGCAAGCTCTTCTGGGCCCTTCCATGCTGGGCCACGTCTCCCGAGGCCCCCAGCGCCAGGCCCACCAAGCATGATAGCTCTTCCAGCCCCCAGGGAATGAAAGGCAAGCTCTCCCACCCCCTGCAGCAACAGCACAAACTCCCAGGACGCCAAACTCTGCTTCGCTGACAAACCAGGGCAAGGTCAGGTCTCTCCCTCCGCCTCCTCCAGCTCTCTCGGCAGCCTCTGAAGCAGTCCCAGCAAGGCAGGAACCAGGAAGAGAAACTCAGGAACAAGGAAAAGAAACTCTGAAAACAGAAAGAAATTATAAACTAAAAAATAAACTAAGTACGTAGCTAAATGAAGTAAAAATAAAATAAGTGAAGCGGAAAGAAAATGAGTGAAGCAAAAGCAACCAGAAAAGAAAGGAAAAAGGAAAGACTAGACTGAAGTGGTGGAGAGAAAACACTCCGACCAGCTACCGGTCCGCCATCTTGGACCCTCTGAAGGCAAATATATTTTTTACTTTCATCTGCTTGCTAGGTACAAATTCTAGAAAATCCTCCACTCTGGCAAGGAAGGAAGTACAAAGCATGTGATTACATATTCATTGGCTAATGTAAAGAATTCCCTCTCAAGTGAAGTCAGGCTGGCATCATCTTCAATGAGCTTCTGTCAGGCAGTTAAAACTAAATTGCTCCATTGGGCCCTTGGCTATTAAAAAGATTTTAATCAATTTAAAAAAAATTATTTTTCCAGTATTTCTATTCTATTATGTATCACCTCAGGGCTTGCGGTTGGCAGTAATGCAAACATTTATTTATTTCCATATCTAAATAAGTAATAAAGGGAGTAAATAGGCATGATCAGTTAATGAAGACAAGACAAGTCCAGATCTTCTCCACATTTGGAGCTGCTTAACTGGATGTATCTGTGTGAACACCCTGGCTCATTCATTACTGCATACAGCCATAGTCTTGTGGCCCAGATTTCTACTGCGGTGCATTTTACCCCAGCTCCTTCCACAAATTATGCTTTTCAGTTATCAGGCGGAGCATGGGAGCACAAATTTAGACCTGAAATGAGTTGCAGATTTTAAAATTTAACCTTGTGAAGCCCCAAATGAGACATTCCTCTCATGAACGCATGCCTGGGTAGAAACTGCAATTTTCATGTCTAAATTGACAATATCAGATGCAACTGGTGTTATTATTAATGGGCTTATGACATGAAATCATGGTCTTTTTTGTTTGATTGCAGCCACATTGTATGCCTCCTCCATTTTGCTGGGTGTCTTCTTGAACAGCAGCGTACCTATATTCTTTGAACTTTTTGTGGAAACAGTCTATCCTGCTCCGGAAGGAATTACCTGCGGTGTGGTCACCTTCCTGAGCAACATGTTCATGGGAGTCCTACTATTTTTTCTTTTTTTCTATCATGAAGGTAAGTAGGATTCAGATGCTTGCTGCATATGTATTTGCTAGAATGATGTATTTCATCTGGAATATTATTTTTTGGCTTCACCAGGAAAAGGAACCGCATGCAGATCTTCCATTAATGCTAACGATGCGTATAAATCTCCACAGCACTCGTAGACGAATAGGCCTCCTAAGGGTTTGCATTGATATGTGTGCCAATCAAAGAATGAAATCCTTATGTGGAGACTTTCCTTCAAAGTCAGTGCAGCAGGATGCCTTTTAGACAAACACACTTGCAAGGTTTTTACAAAGAGCAACCTTATATTGTGACCATTAATAACATTTGTAGCTAAGCAGATGAAAGCAGTGACAAAACTGATCCAGTCTCATGCTTGTGGGTCTACTCTGTAGGCATCAGAAAAAGTATGTCATCCTTGTTGTGAAACTGAAGGGAAGATTTTTCTCTCTGCCCCTCTTCAGACAAGTTTAGGGGGATCTTAATCTATGATGGGATAAAGTGTGGGTTCTGGATCATTTAGTAATTCAGAGTTGGCAAAAACTATTCCATAGGGTTTCAGCCGTAAGTAGGATCCACTATAAAATGTAATAAATACTCCAGTTCAGGATTCCAGATGGTCAGTGACGGGAATTGGGTAGTGATGTTCAGCATTCATGAGGAGTAAAAATGATAGAAAGGGAAAGGACACTCCCCCCCCTTTTTCCTTCCTTCCAGAACTTTCCCCTGTTGTAAGGCAAAGGACCCTGGATTCTGCCTGGCAGTTCACACCTGAGCTTTATTGCTAGATATGAGCCTATCGGAAAAGTGGGAAAACAAAAAGATTTCTCCTCCAGAGCAGAGCAATGTATCCCTTCCCAAGCAAAGGTCGTCCACTAAAGCAGGCATTCCTGTTTTTAGTACTTGATACGGAAGTGGAACATTCCTCTGGAGACAGTGAGATGAGTGATTGTAATGCCTTCATATTTAAATATCCTCAAAGTTAGTTGTAATTATTTTATTCGTTTAAATTTTTGTGTACAAATTTCCTACTCTCTATTTCATTTGAAAGATTTCTTTATCACTGGTCAATGGAGCTTTTCTGGTGGCTTACCAAAAACAGCCTAAAATATACAGAATATATTGATACCATGTAAAAAGCAACCCACCAGCCTTACAGTAGAGATGAGTGCCAAAGGCATAACAGTATTCCTGGCCAAGTGGCCCTCTCTAAAGGGACGTTCTACTGTCAGAATGCAATTGTTGATGAGTTTGTCCTCTCTCGGATCATCATGACCTGCCTTATCTCAGGTGGGGCACCTGGGTGAGAAACCTGAATGCTTAGGCAGGTTGAAATGAGACATGGTGTCTGTTATACTTAGGTCCTAAGCCGTATGTAATTTTGATTGTAAGTACCGTTAAATAGAGGGGAAGCCTGTGAAATACGTTCACTACTGTACAGAGATTTTTCCACCTACCAGTTATATTTAAAAGCTATATTTTCAACTAATGAAAATTCAAATCTAGCCCCATGTATATATAGTGCCAGAGTAAGGGCTTTAGGGCAAGTGGCTCTTCATGCAGAGCAGGATGAACACCATCCATCTGAACAAAGGAATTAGCTGATCACAAAATGTCCATCATGTCAGGATTGAATTTGTTTATTTGCCTTCATTCAGCTGCTTGCTGATTTCAGGCAGTAATTCAGGACTTTAGCCATCCACTTCGGAGCAAATAATTCAGGTGCTTTATATTGTTAGTACTATTGTCAACATACTGATTATACCTTTCTTGAAATCTACAAAAGTGGTAGATTTCAGCAATAAAACTTAGCAGTTACAATTGGCACAGGTCAGAGCATTAACTTTCTCAATCTGAGCTTCTGCAGATTCTGTACATTGGTCAGAGGAGAACCATCACAAATGGATGCTTGTTAAATGCTGTTCAGATGGAATGTTGTCCCAGCATAGTTCCAGTGTGGCTTGTCATTGTACAAGGACAGACCATCCACTTGAGAAAATGCGGCAGCGACCACTTGCTCAAGAAGGCACTGGGTGCATCTTTGTGCAAGCAGCAAGAATCTTAAATTGCTTTCGCCGCAGGCGACTGCAAAAGTAGTTTGGCCCCTTCAGCCAAACAAAATATCTGCAATTATTATTGTTATTATGATTGTTATGATTGTTGTTGTTGTTGTTGTTGTTATTGTTATTATTGTTGTTATTGTTGTTGTTATTATTATTATTATTATTATTAGTAGTAGTAGTAGTAGTAGTAGTAGTAGTAGTAGTAGTAGTAGTAGTAGTAGTAGTCGTAGTATTTGGTATTGAAATGCATCTGGAAACGAGATTAAAATGAGGTTATTTTGTCTCATCCAAATGCACTTGGACTTGTGGAAGTACCACCTGATTTAACCTTTAGGGGAGAAGATGTTTTTCCCTTGTGAGGTTATTTTGTCTCATCCAAATGCACTTGGACTTGTGGAAGTACCACCTTTAGGGGAGAAGATGTTTTTCCCTTGTTGTTGTTGTTTAGTCATGTCTGACTCTTCGTGGCCCCATGGACCAGAACACGCCAGGCCCTCCTGTCTTCCACTGCCTCCCGGAGTTGGGTCAAATTCATGTTGGTAGCTTCGATGACACTGTCCAACCATCTCATCCTCTGTCGTCCCCTTCTCCTCTTGCTTTCACACTTTCCCAACATCAGGGTCTTTTCCAGGGAGTCTTCTCTTCTCATGAGATGGCCAAAGTACTGGAGCCTCAGCTTCAGGATCTGTCCTTCCAGTGAGCATTCAGGGTTAATTTCCTTTAGAATGGATAGGTTTGTTCTCCTTGCAGTCCAGGGGACTCTCAAGATCCTCCTCCAGCACCACAGTTCAAAAGCATCAATTCTTCAGCTGTCAGCTTTCTTTATGGTCCAGCTCTTGCTTCCATACATCGCTACAGGAAAAACCATAGCTTTGACTATGCGGACTTTTGTTGGCAAGGTGATGTCTCTGCTTTTTAAGATGC